CAACACTGAGTCACCCCAGAGAACGGAAGGGATTGGGGTAATGTGATCTAACACTCCAAACCCCTGTCTCGATCCTTTTTTTCCCTTATTTCACAGTAGGATAAGGACTCAGAGTAAGTTAGAGGACAGCCGTTTCATTTATGTATAAGTGATCCTAAAACTTTGCATACTTCCTAAAATTCTAAGAGACTTTCAAATAATGGGCACAATGCATATAATAAACAAAAACATTGGTCCTTAAAGGCAATTTGTTGTCTTGGATGAAACTGCCTGTGGAGATTTCATAATGCTTTCAAAATTCCAACAATAAATAATGAGACAAAGAAGTTGTAGTGTAAATTTGTTTTATAAATTGTTATCTAGCAAGAAACCCTCATTTCTCTAGAACAACACACTAATCAGACACTTGGGAAACCAATTTCTTCCTAATTGACTCAAACCTTAACTCCACTTAGCACATATTTGGATCTTTATATAGTACCCTAATTACTAAGTTACCCTAAAGAGATAAAAGGGATTGAGATAATGTGATTTAGCCGTAATGAAGTAGACACTGGCGTAGTCAGGGAATTCCTAGCCTAGAGTTAAAATGAAGACCAACGGAAAAGTTCATTAATTTGCAGACTTACCTGGTACACTCTCAGAGTTTGCAAACTGAAAACCTAAAGATCAGTTGGTTCTGTGGGTGAATTTTATTGGCCTCCATGTGTTTAAAAAAAAATATTAATTCAGTAGCTAATACTTAAAAATTCAAATAAATATAAAAATTTCCAACATTTATTTAAAACTCTATGCTGGATTTACAGTTACAGAAATATGAAGAGATTGGCAAATTCTGTCCACAAAATCCAAGTCTAAATTTGGAAAATACTCTTAATAATAATTTCCCCACTTGTTATGGTTTAGATGTTGGGTGTCCCCCAAAAGTGCATGTGTGGATGATGCAAGAAGTTTAGAGCTGAAATGATTGGGAGTCCTAACTTAATCAGGACATTAATCTACTTGACTGCATTAACTGGGTGGTGACTGTAGGCCGGTAGGGTGTGGCTAGAGGAAGTGGGTCCCTGGGGCATGTCTTTTAGGTGTATATTTTGTTCCTGAAGAGGGGTGCTATCTTTCTCTGCTTTCTTG